CTGCTCCAGTGCTCACACTAGAAAGTGTGACATACTGCCCCTTTCCTGCCCTCTCCCTGCAATAAATCTCTTAAGAGTCTTTTCTGTGCCACCTGGAATCACAATCACATCAATTTTCCACAAAGAGCTATGTCACTCATTGGAGGACGTGTCAAAATCTAAAGGGTTGGGATGGGAGGAGAGATTTGTATTTTCTGTTTCTCAAAGGAAACATGGCTTTAAAACAAACTGAAAAGCACTTATCTAGTCCAAGCCCTTATTGTGCAGAGGAAGAAACGGAGGCTCAGAACAGATGAAGAAAGGACCTTACTAATAAATACTGCCTCAGCGCAGCACCAAGCCAGCCATGGGCCCTTCTGGGGGAGTACCTGGGAGGCCCAGGAGAATGAGTGTTAGAAAATGGAAAGAGAAGAAGCATACAAGGCCCCGTCTCTACACCACCATAGCATGAAGTTCCACCAAATTACCCAGTATGGGTGCAGCCAAAATTAAGGTGGGCTAAACAGGTTATGGAAACCTGGAAGTCTCAACCATAGTGGAAATTCCAACATTTACTATTTTTGTTCCCCAGTTCAAGCATCAGCTCAGTGGGCACTCTGTACCAGGGACTACACGAGGCCTGGAGTTCTCCCAAATACAGATCTTTTTTACCACGTGTAAAACCACATAAAGGCCACCAGAAGAAAAGCGCCCACAGATAAGATGGAATTACTGAAACTGAAAGCAGCCAAAGAGCATATATTACTAGGAAAAATGGTGCTCCTAGAAATGGACTCATGGACATAGAAAGCAAACTGTGGTAAGCAGGCAGGAAAGGGGGGATTACAGATACACATTAATAAATATAAAATAAATGACAAGGACCTACTATATAGCACAGGGAACTATATTCAATTACTTGTAATGAGTTCTACTAAAAACAATCTAAAACAAATGTGTATACATATGCATATGTTTATAACTGAATCTCTGCTGTACATCTGAAAATAAAATTGTAAATTGACTACACTTCAATAAAAAATAATTTTAAAAAATAAGTAAAAATAAAAGCAACGCCATTAAGAAAAAATAAAAGAACACTCTAATCCCCTTAGCTGTAGGTGGTGGAGAATTCTGGTTGCAAGCACCAAGTCTACTGGATCACTCCAGCACTGTCTGTCACTCTTTCTGACAATCAGAGAGTCACTTGGCTTCACTGAGGTTAATTATCTCTTCTGTGAAAGGCTACAGTTGCAACTAACGATGTATAGAATCTCATCATTCACAAGCCCGACAAATAGTGAGGACTTCCCATGGGCCAGGCTCTGGAGAGATGAAAATATAGAGTCCCAGTTATATTCATGGGTAGAAGAAGTTTATGCCATAAAGACATTAATTCTTCCTGTTTTGATAGACAGATTCATTTCAATTCTGATTAGAATTCCTACCAGATTTTTCATGGAATGTAACAAGTTAATTTATGGTCAGGAATAGCCAGGAAACTTCTTTAGAAACACCATTGGGGAGGGGTGATTGGATCATTAATTTCCACTGTTCTTTCTGAAGTGATGAAAACGTTCTGGAATAATAATGGTTGCACAAATGTGAATATGCTAAAAGCTTCTGAATTGTACCATTTAAATGAATGGACTTCATGGTGTGTGAACAATATCACAATAAAGCTGGTATATGAAAAAATATTTCTTGAAAATTATTTTTCCCTCTATACTATTACTGTGCCACACAATTTAAGAAAAACAAAAAATCAAAACCAACCAAACTATGCCAGGAGCTTTTTAGGACTACAATGTCCCTGGGTCTCCAAGGCCTCTGGTGGTGCTGATCCTGTTAACACACACTAGCTGGGCTGGGCTAGTTAGGGAGTGTAACTATCTTTTTAAGATCGATGGTCACACGTTTCACCCTGGGAGAGGGAAGGAAGGAGGATGTCACAGCCTTATGGC